TCACTAAAAGATTTGAACCCATGTATAGAACCAGAGGAGGTAGATGATCATAATTATCACTGTGCAATTATAAATATTAAAATTAAAGAACTGACTTACTTGAAATCAGATGATGATGCAAGCAGAATGATAGAACAGATAGAATGATATGTCAGAGGTAGAGGAATTAAATCCGAGCCCACAGAACGTGTCTCCTTAAGACAATTTGCCCCCTCACTGATGCCTAAGGTTGATGGACACTTGTCTCCTAGGATAGAACGGATTACGTCTGAAGAATGGTGGCACTACCAATCAACAGCCCAAACGAACACAACAATTGCCAGAGGAAATCACACCGGAGGATGAACCACAGTATGCAAAACCGGAAGGAGAAAAATTCCGGCAGAGTTTAAGTGCAGAAAATTGGATTAATTTTATGAAGGTGTCAGTGTCTATTTATAGACACTGACCGGTCACGTTTCAAAAGGCACATATTCGACGACGAAACAACACATCCGTTGGACACGAAAAGACACATTCGTTCAACACGAAAAGGCACCAATTCAAGGATGAAACAACATGTCTGTTAGGATGAAACAACATGTCCGTTAGGATGAAACAACACATCCATTAGGATGAAACAACAGATCCGTTCAGATGAAACAACACATCCTTTAGGATGAAAAGATACATCTGTTTGTCGACGAAAAGACACACTCTTTCACTACCAAACTTCTTATTCATAACCAATATATTGTCTACACAATTTATATATATATATATATATATATATATATATATATATATACATATAAATTCCAACAATCCCCCACATGGATAAGAAGTCAAATCATCGTGACAAAAATGCATAAGAATATAAATGCAAAGTGTAATTTCCTCAATGAGAAATAACTGCATCGAGATAGGTGGAGTTACCTTTGAACCTTCTCTAGTGGAAACCTATCAGATATACTTGGTCAATCGGTGGTCTAGGTCGACTTGAACCGTCAATCTTTAGTGTATACCTAGACAATAGGAGTCACACAATTGCTTCTCTAGCATTGTTGGTCCTTTGTTGCGCCCATTTTGGCCGTGGGACACCTGCCTGGTTCTGCGAGTGTTTTAGAGAATCGGCCTTTGAAAAATTCTCATAGAAGCGGCCCTCACTTCACACTCACATAGGTGATTTCTTGTGATGTAACTCACTTATACATCATCTGAACACAACAGATTAAGAAATCATTAAAAGCCTAAGTGCTTACCCTCATAAATACACTGTCTTGTCTTAGGAATGAGTATGAGTTTAAAAACTCCACAGTGTTTAAACAGTCGACCATCACTTAGTTGTCTCTTTGAACCTAGTTCATGGGATCTCCACTCTTCTAGGTAGAGTTACCGCAATGCTCAACAATTGATAGGCCTTAAACCCATTCCTTTCGACAAATTTTCAACCAACTCTCTAGGAATCCCTTTGGTTAACGGATCCGCTATGTTTTCCTTAGACTTAACATAGTCAATTGAAATGATTCCATTCGAGAGTAGTTGTCTTACGGTATCATGTCTATGACGTATGTGTCTAGACTTACCGTTATACATGACGTTCTTGGCCCTTCCATAGCTGCTTGGCTATCACAATGTATGCATACAGATGGTACCGGTCTTGGCCAATTAGGAACATCCTCAATAAAATTACGAAGCCATTCGGCTTCTTCACCGGCCTTATCTAAAGCAATAAATTCTGCTTCCATGGTTGACCTTGCAATGCAGGTTTGCTTGGACGATTTCCAAGACACAGCACCTCCACCGAGGATGAACACATATCCACTTGTGGATCTAGTGTCGTTAGAGCCGGTGATCCAATTTGCATCACAATACCCTTCTATAACCGCGGGGTATTTCTCGTAATGCAAAGCGTAATTCTGAGTATACTTCAAGTATCCCAAAACTCTTACCATAGCTTTCCAATGATTCTCATTTGGATTACTGGTAAAACGACTTAACAGACTTACTGTATAAGCAATATCAGGTCTGGTGCAGTTCATAACATACATAAGGCTTCCCAACACTTGAGCATATAGCTTTTGTGCTGTAGCTTTACCAGTGTTCTTTAATAAACTCAGATTAGAATCTACAGGGTTCCTCACAGAAGTTATTTTCAAACTCTTGAATTTCTCAAGAACCTTAGCTACATAGTGAGCCTGTGATAAGGCCAACCCTGTAGATGTTCTATGGATTTTAATACCTAGGATAATGTCTGCTATCCCCATATCTTTCATATTAAACTTACTTTTAAGTAATTGTTTAGTAGCATTAATCATTTGATTATTACTACCCATGATCAACATGTCGTCTACATAAAGACAGACAATGGCAAAACCTTTTTCAGTATTTCGAACATAGACACATTTGTCACATTCATCAATTCGAAATCCATTTGACAACATAACGTTTTCAAATTTCTCATGCCATTGCTTTAGAGCTTGCTTTAACCCGTAAAGGGATTTTATTAAGCGACAAAATTTCCGTTCTTGTTCTGGAACAACAAAACCTTCAGGTTGTTCTAAATATATCTCTTCTTCCATGTCGCCGTTTAAGAAGGCGGTTTTAACATCCATTTGATGTATTTGTAATCCATTCAATGCAGCTACCGCGATCAACATCCTAATGGATGTGATCCTTGTAACCGGTGAATAAGTATCGAAATAATCGAGACCTTCACGTTGCCTGTAACCTTTTACCACAAGCCTTGCTTTATATTTATCAATAGTGCCATTCTCTTTCATTTTTCTTTTGAAAACCCACTTACTTTCTAAAGGCTTATTGCCAGGAGGAAGATTTACCAATTCCCAAGTGTGGTTGGACAAGATAGACTCTATCTCACTATTGATAGCCTCTTCCCAGAATGGTCCTTTCGGGGACGTTATAGCTTCCTTAGACGTTCGAGGCTCATTTTCTAATAAATATGTCATAAAATCATGTCCAAAGGATGTGGCGGTCATTTGCCTCTTGCTACGTCTAGGTTCATCTTCTACATCCTCTACAGGATCAGTATCAGTTGTAGCATCCTGAGGTATCACAACCTGATCATCATTATTACCACTTGATTCAGGTATCCTCTTATACGGAAATACGTCTTCAAAGAATATGGACCCATACGATGGGCCCATTAAGTAACAAGCCCAACAAGGGGCAATCCAAAAGCTGATGAGTCAGCACAGCTATCCACTTGATGTGTCAGCATAGGTATCCAAGCTATCTACAGGTAACCTCTATAAATACCAGGGCAAACCCTAAAAGGTACACACATTCTCTCTCTGATTGTTATGCTGTCACTGTGCACACACACCCCATTGGCTAACGCCATCATTGTATTCTGTGCACAATGATCTTCCCGACTCAAGGGTATCTCTTATGCTGTCACTTGTCCCCTCACTGATGCCTAAGGTTGATGGACACTTGTCTCCCAGGATAGAACGGATTACGTCTGAAGAATGGTGGCACTACCAATCAACAGCCCAAACGAACACAACAATTGTCAGAGGAAATCACACCGGAGGATGAACAACAGTATGCAAAACCGGAAGGAGAAAAATTCCGGCAGAGTTTAAGTGCAGAAAACTGGATTAATTTTATGAAGGTGTCAGTGTCTATTTATAGACACTGACCGGTCACGTTTCAAAAGGCACATATTCGACGACGAAACAACACATCCGTTGGATACGAAAAGACACATTCGTTCAACACGAAAAGGCACCCATTCAAGGATGAAACAACATGTCTGTTAGGATGAAACAACATGTCCGTTAGGATGAAACAACACAGTTGTTCAGATGAAACAACAGATCCGTTCAGATGAAACAACACATCCTTTAGGATGAAAAGATACATCTGTTTGTCGACGAAAAGACACACTCTTTCACTACCAAACTTCTTATTCATAACCAATAGATTGTCTACACAATTTATATATATATATATAAATTCCAACAATTACAACTTGAGAATCAAACCTATAAGAAACATCATGTGAAAGAGAGGGAGAAAGAGAGAGAGAATTTGTAGAGAGAGAAACAATGGTGTTGTGGGATATAACACTGGGACCTGCATTTTTGGTGAATTTTTGTAATTGGTGATGAGAAGAAAGAAAATGTAGGGGAGCTAAAGATAATGGGAATGCATCCTCTTGTGTGAAAAAAAAAATGATATGATCATGTGGGAAGATCATAACCATACAAAGGTAAATCAACGGTTATGATTTTATAACTATCTATCTTAACATTTTGTTCTCTCCTCTTTTATTACCATTGATTCACCTTTGTATAGTTATGATTCCTCACATGAGAGGATCCAGATCCAAAGATAATGATCAGAAAGAGAAGAAGACGACTCGTGTGGAGGACGAAAAACACAAGATTGATCTGATTCACAAAATAGAGGGTTGTTTTGTAAAATTACTCTTATTCCCAGCAATATTTTATCATTAACCAAATATAGCATCAAAAAATTGACCCAATATTTATGGGAATATTTTGTCTTACCAAATAATTTTTTGGTAATATTAATTTACTTTCCCACCATATTTTCAGAAAGCGTGATTTTCAGGTAAAATTTTTTTCCTCTACCAAATGCTTTTTTTTTTAAAATTTATAATATAATATTATTATATTATTAATTTACATTCATTACTTGTTTTAATAATATAATATTAAATGATTAAAACTTATTTTCTTGTTCACACGAAGCAAGCTTTTTTTTTAAATATTTAAAAATAATTTTAAGCCAATTTTCTTCAAGTTTGAATCTTCCAAAAAATTAAAACATAATATCAAAACAGAGTTTTCTCAAATTAATTGCGTAACTGAGTGAATCATAATGAGGGCAAGTGTTAAAGTTAGGGTAGTCCCCGACACGTGTCAAGAAAAGCGGGAAGCATAGAGCAATATATTCGGTACCTGCGTTCTCACCGTTCCTAGGTTTATAAATATAACGTTAACTTCTCACTTTGTCCTTCACGCCGCCAACTCCAACTATCCTCACTCGCATCTTAATCTTATTCCAATCTCTGGGTACTATCACTGTTCCTCTCTTTCACTATACACACTGTATCACAACACATGCACGTAAAGTTTTCCAAGTTCAATATATCTTCTTAGTTCACAGTCATACACCTACTTTTGTAGTGATATGCCATATATCTTCATGTATTAGTTGTAACACATACATATGTTAGTGTTTGTCCTTCCCCCAAGTCTTTGTATACTGCAATTAGCTTGCCGTTGTTTGGTTTCTTCTGATTCGGTGTACATTAGCTTAATTACCTTGCTGTTTGTGAACATGATTTCTGTGTTTTTAAGTTTAGTGATAATATTTTGAGTTTTTTAGATCTTGTAGTGCAAAACTGAATTTATGATGAATTATTTGTTTCAGTGAAGCTTGGAATGTATTACAACTTTGATCATTTTACACACTTTGATCATTTAAGTTAATTATTTGTATACAGTTTTTTTTTTTTTTGGTCTGAAATTAAAAAACCTGTGCATTGCAGAGATAAAAAGATTGATTCTATTTACAGAGCCATCAAAACAAATTAAGAAGTTTCAATTAAAATTTGAAAGTGACAGTCATATCTTTATTTACTTTGATAAGAAATATTTAAATTAATTTTAAATAAAAAGGGAGAATGATTAACCTATTATTGTTCAAAAGGCTCATGTATGTTTTATCATGGATTCCAAATCATTTAAATTGAATTCCAACTTCTTTAAATTAGAATATATATAAAAGAGGAAGGTTATAGTTACAACTTCTTTTTTTACAACCATATCTTATTACCGTTGATTTTCGTCAATCAACGGTTATCATTTATTGTGAATTAATAATTAATTAATTAATGAATTTAATTTGCTAAAATGATAACCGTTGATTGGCGGAAATCAACGGTGATAAGATATGGTTGTAAAACACTGTAAGAAAAAAAAAAGATTATAAGTATAAGCTTGCTCTATATTATATAAAAAAATATGTTTGGACACTACAATTTAACAATTCGTTTTTTCTTTCTTTCTATTTTTACCTTCATTACTCTGTTCTATGATCTGTTCACACACGCGCAGCAAGAGACCTGTAACTTTCTCATATAAGCAAAGTCCTTTGAAATCTTGGATTTTATAACCCTTTTTTTTTTGCGTGTAGAAGTTGCTATTTTTATTGTTTGAGCTATTTACTATCAAACCAATATCAACTGTATATTTAATGAGTTGATTTTGAATTGGATGAATTTTAATTTGACCAGGAAAACATTAAAGGGAGCTAAGTTTGTGAAAGACAAAATTCACCCTCGAAGTTGCATCAATTAAGGAGAAGGTGGAATAGAAGGGTTTGAGTTACATGGGTGACAGTGAGAAGGCCATCATTAAGGTGGAGCCCTTTCTGGATGAACAAACTAATACTACAAAAGTCTTGGAGGACACTGATGTTGATATAGTGAGTTGGACAAATAAGGGTGATTTTGCATCTAACAAAAATGAGGACCCTGATGAAACTGAGTATTCAAGTTCATTTGCTGACACTACTTCTGATGCTGAAAATTGTCCTAGAGTGAGTGATGCTGAAGTGGAGTCAGAATTATTAGGTGATAATGGCTTGGCATGCACGTTTGATGCTTTTGATTGTTCATTTCGGATGAGGTGATTTTTATTCCAAATCAGTAACTTTTAAACTCTCTTGCATGGAAATAGATTGGTATTGGAAAATCTATCATCATTGTTTGTGCTGTCTGTTATCATTAATGTCTTTTTCTGAGTCCATTAACCTGTGCTTCCTCATGCTAGTCATCAATTGGTAGTGGTATATACAACTATACCGAGTTAGTTGGTTCTTAATGGTGAAGAAAAGTTCTTGAATGTTTTGTGTTTATTACAATATAATAGTAATCATTATAATTTGAGTTATTTATGCATATATTAATTTCTGTGTAACTGTAGGAAGAAGAAGTTGACAGATCATTGGAGGAACTTTATACGACCTCTAATGTGGCGTTTGAAATGGACAGAACTAAGAATGAAGGAAATTGACTCACAAGCATTAAAATATAGTAAAGAGCTTGCAGAATATGATAAAAGAAAACATATGGAACCTGATCATTTTACCTTAGAAGAGTGTGGTTCAAAGTCATTGCCATTTTCAAGTAACCAGTACAGAAGTAAGGCCAAAAAGAGAAGAAAAAGAAAGAAAGTTGAGGACACAACTGAAATGGCATCGTATACATCACAACATTATCTTTTGTCCTATCTTGGTACAAACTTCTTTGCACTCATTTATCTTGATACCTGCCGCTTTTCCCTGCTTCAGAGAAGTGTGTGACTTTTTCCATTACATATATTGTAGAGAAAAAGAAGTCTGATCCTGATGGCTGTTTAGCTGATGATTTTGGTAATCCAGGTTAGAAATCCTGCTTTGTAATGAATGATACATAATACCTTTCTGCTGCATATCATGTTAAGTCACTGGCGACATTAACATCTCTTGTATTATTTTCGCTTATGAGGAAAAGGATGAAGAAAAAGAAACTGCTTTATTCAACTCCATTATGTTAGTGTTTTGTGTGTGTGGAATTGTCTTTCATTTTATCATCTTTCTTATGCCTCAAATATCTAACTCATGACTAATTTTTTTTATTAATCTTTTGTTATAGTGACCACAGACCTGTGTGCGGATTCAACAGACAGGTTTGGCATTGGTGAAGATCAAGCTTTCTTTGAGTTCAGCGATGCTGATACTTCCTTTGAGCAGCTCCTTTGGAAAATTGACAATCTACATTCTAGAGTCCACAAGCTAAAGAGTCAAGTCGATTCGATCATGGCCAAAAATGCTTCAAAGTTTTCTTCATCAGAGAATTGGAGCATTCTTCCTCATGGTGATATGCAGACTAGCTCAGCTCAAAGTCCTACAATCTCTGCAGGGAATGGAGACACATCATCTGTTGGGGCTATTTATAATTCAACTCACCATGTAGCTGAGTTTGATTTAGGAGATTTTGTTATTCCTGACAGTGCTGTTTCAAGTTATGGAGAAGTTCCAATTATTGTTCCTGATATAATTGAGAGCACTGTGGGCTTATTGTCTGCTACTGATGTCACCCTCCATCCTGCCCTGGCCGGGGACTCATGTGAAGATGTAAGTTTTCTCAAACTATGTATAACATAGTTTTAGTTCTTCCTATAATTTCTGTCAATTTCTTATTATGTGTTTTATGCAATCAAATATGATTTATTTGGGTCTTCATATTTATGTAAGAAAAGTTTGTTACATAAAATACCATAAAGGCAGACTTCATTTTCATCTTTTTGTATCAAATTCGGTATTTTTCATATGCTACTCAAAACAACTTTCTATAAAAAAATTTCCTCATGAGATAGGTATATACAATCCAACAAATAAATGCCTCTTTCTAGACATTTCTTTTGAAACATTGTTATATTCTGTTTGTTCCTTGCCGGGAATCTATATCAGACATCAAACCTACTAAAAGTGTTGCTTGAGATAATGCTATTGCTAAATTTGGTAGACTAAGAAATTTGAGATGGATGGTTTTAGATGTTAGACAATGTCTTGATACAAGAGGTAGCTGAAACAGAGGAGCACACCTTTAAAAGTGAACATCACCATTCCATTGAGAAGCCTCAGGACATGGAGAAAGGTGAAGAAGGTGAAGACAACCCCATGTCAGATTTTAACATAGCAGCAAATTCTGCCGTGTCTCAAGAGCAATCAACTATGAAGTCTTGCATAAATAGTGATGTAAATTTTCCCAAAAATAAAAGAAAGCGTGGGGAGCGCAAAGCTGGATCAGTTGGTTGGAGCAAGAAATGCTCAGGGGAACCTGATAACCAGTGAATAAGACTTCTCAATCTGTAGTGACTATATAATTTGTAGCTCATTTTTTCTCCTTCATAACTTGACAGAAGTTGTTTTAACTTTTATGGTCACAGTGAATAATATTATTGGTCAAAATATATTTTTAATTTAATTCTTGTACAATTTTTTTTTTTTTAAATTTAATCTCGATATGTATAATTATTATTTTTAATTTAATCCCTATATGCATAATATGCTTGTAAAGAACCTTGGGATACACCACCCCAAAAGCTAGCTCAAAGGGTGGGAGTGCCCAAGGCCTTATAAACTCCACATTAGTTGCTCATACAATCAATGTGGGACTAGCTCATTGGGCTTGAAGAGTGGACAATGCAACAGGCCCAACCTACCTGTGCTAAGAAACTCCACAAGAGAAAGTGGGGGACGGCGAGGCTATGATATTATGTAAAGAACCTTGGGATATGTCTAAGGCCTTACAAGCTCCACATTAGTTGCTCATACAACCAATGTGGGACTATATATCTCAACAATACTTTTGGAGTTAATGGAGTTGTAACACAACAATAAAGTGTGAGGACCAAGTTAAAAATGAGTATCACGTATATATTTTTGGTCCTTATATGTGACACTGATTTTTTAATTTGATCCATACTTCACAGTGATTCTATAACAATCTCACATAGTTAAAAATGATTATATATATAAGGATAAAATCATTTTTTTGTATAGAAACCAAATTGAAAATATATTTTAACCGTTTCATTTTTTGTGAGTAAGTATTCAGCTTGAAGTGGCTTCAATTTTGTGAGGAACTATTTTTTTTTTAAAAGAAAATAATTTGAGTTGATGGGTGTTAAATGTCCCTCTCCTTAGGACTTGGATATTCCTTAAGTGGGTGTGGGGCTAACTAAATGTTTGGTTTGGTGAATAAGAGATAATAATGAACCGAAAAAAAAAAGAGAAAGAAAGAAAGAAAGAGAGGGATTGCACGTGAATATGCCATGCAGCATCATGATATATGTTTCCAGTGCTCGCCAACTAATCCATTTGATTTTAATTTTGCATAACTGATGAACCTTCAAGTTGTCGGGTTCTGTAGTATACTTTTCTATAGTACACTGTAAGCCATCTCGACCCTAATATCACATCAATGAATGCTTTATTTTGGCATCGCTCAATGTCATGGCAATGGTGGAAGCTAAATTTATTCCTAGATTGAATTATACAAACCAAATGCTCAATGAAACAATTTTCTTCACACACACACAATACCAAAAAAAGAAAAAGAAAAAAACCAAATGATAGTAGCTTAGTTAGTGGGAACTGAACAGATGGAGATGAGAGCATATATTTAACCCTTTCCAATATCATTTTTGAAAGGGTTTTTAAAATATTAATCTGGATTCATCCCGAACATGAGAAAGTTGAGCCATATTTTATATCTTTTTCTAGTTATTATATTTTTCAGACATTTTTCTTTAGTTTCTCTTTTCAATTTTTTTTTTCTTGAAAGCGGTTATTTGATATGTTCACTAGACCTTAAATTCCGGAAAGTTAGTAAAGTTGCAGACGCCATACCGCAATAGCAACATCTCTTTCTTTGTGCTTTTGATTGGAAGGTCTTCGTTCCAATCCAAAGTGAACAAAATGATTTCCATGGTCTACAATGTACAAAAAGCAAAAGATTACTCAGATTCTGCAACCTCTTATTCTTTTTGACCCTTCCCAGCCACTCAAATATTAATAATAATTTACAAAAAAAAAAAAAAAAAAAAGGTTTAGGTTATAAGCGCATTAAATACTATGACTCTGGTGGTTTTATACTCTTTGGGCAAGCCCTTGTTACCTAACTAGATATAGAAATAGAAATTTTAACGAAGGAAAGAAAAATTGAGTCCACCCTTGATGAGTTTCGAGTCTTATTTCATAAGAATCAGTTTCCATAAGAAATTGCATGTAACCTAATTTCATAATTTATCTCTCGGCATATTAATAGCAATCTTTAATTATTGAATGACAATTGCTCATATGCCAACCAACATCTCCAATCATAATGTCTTTTTTTCTTTGTTGCAGCTTTTTGGAGTTTTGGGGATAAAAATATAAAGGACCACAACACCTTTAACGAATTTTAATAATCTAATACATCATCAAGTGGCAAAATAATTATAACCATATCGGATTGTAGAATTTTAAAATATGATTTTACATCTCTGTCCGTTATTTATTAATTATATGGTTTCATTATGAATTTAAATGAGAAACCTTTGAGAGTTCTTCTTCTTGTTTGGTTTTCTTTAAAAAAATTGGAGGTAGATGGTTGAAATATTCAAAGAGCAATGATACTTGCACATATTTTATTCTACACATTCCTTATAGACTTTAAGGTAGATTCAACGATTCATAAAAATTACAACATGGTATTATTCGTTATCCAATAACTTGTGGTGTGTGAGTGTTTGTGAAGCATTTAATCGTGCATGCATTATTTTCTATTTTCGAAAATCATGTGTGAAAGGCTATTAATTGTATATGAGTCAAGAATTGATAACACCGGTTTTTGGGCACGTAGAAAAAAAAAAGTTCCTCTATTTGAACGTCCCCATTATCATCATAAACAGAAAAGGTGAAGGAGCTTGTGTAATAATTGCACAGCACAAGTTCACATTTATTGGAATTAAATCCTTCCTTCTATATATGCATGGCATGGAGCGTTTTCAAATGGTGATGTTCACATGAAAGGAAATTATAGCTCCTTTTCTAGATATACTTTGAATTGGAAGAAAGATGATAGTGATAGGTATAGGTTTATATTGTTGAGGCAAGGAATTAATTGCAGATACGTGCAGCTATTAATTACGTTTCCCTACAATTTGATGCAAATTTTTTTTTTTTTTTTTTTTGATGTTATCGCTCATAGAAGTTGGGGGGCGATTATGAATTGATGTTATAGCTAATTGTTACAGAAATATAAAGGAAAAAATGTATATGGAGTTACTGTAGATAAATTATATGCATTTATTTTCAAAACGACGTCGTTTTGGTATTAAAATCTTAAAAAATTATAAATATAAAGATTATTATAACTCTGAAATAAATTAAAATTATAAAAATACCATGATTTTCGCCCAAAACGACGTCGTATTAAGTTTACGGCAGAAAAGACGAACCCTAATATAAACCTTTAAAAAGTTTTGGGTTGAGATGGCTCATTGCATGATATAAGAGCTTCCTTGACCACAAGGTAATGAGTTCGATCCTCACCGCCCGAGATTAATATAAACCATTAAAAAGGCTCTTACGCAACACTTTAAGATTTTGGGTTAGAGTGGTTATTTACAATAATCATTACTTATTTTGGAATCTTAACTTCTTTGTACCAAAAGCGAAATGGTCTTACCCTCCTCTTACAAGATTTACTCAAAAGATTGAACACATTTTTATCTTAATTGATGAAATTTGGTGACATATGCAATTTAGGTTTATTAGATATTTGGTATGGATAAGAAATTTATTATCATTACAAAAAAATTACAATCTTTATAGCTATGTAGTAACTTTTTTGTATACGTTTTATCAATAAATTTTACTAAATCGCGTCCTTTTTATAACTTTTGTGTTTCCGCTATATATACAGCTTTCTCACAATGATGGCAGGTCCAATTATCAGCATGTTTAGAATAATTAATGGGTGATGTTAGAGAGATAATACGTGAAAGCCATAACACATCATGTACAATAAAATTTATGTTTGAAACGCGTGCAGGATCACATAACATTTGCAAATTCTCATGAAATCAAATAACTTTACATAATTAAAAAAAAAATAATAATAAATTTTGGTCCACTTATCATTGCCTTGATATATTATACGAAGAATGAGTTAATAGTGTTGAGATATATAGTCCCACATTGATTAGATGGGCAATTAATATGGCCTTTATAAGATCTTGGGCACTCCCACTCTTTGAGCTAGCTTTTGGGGTGGTGTATCCCAAGGTTCTTTACATGGTATCAGAGCCTCACCGTCCCCCGCTTTAAAAAGTGGAATTAAAATAAATAAATAAAAAAGCACAAAAAGGTAAACCAAAAATGGGCCTGTGCAATTTCCACGCTTCTAGCCTAAAAAGGCTCTTGCGTGAGGGGCGTGTTGAGATATATAGTCCCACATTGATTAGATGGACAACTAATATGGCCTTTATAAGATCTTGGGCACTGAGCTAGCTTTTAGAGTGGTGTATCTCAAGGTTCTTTACAAATAGTTTGTTAGTCTGTGCAAGTGAACAGAGTTGTGGTTTTGCAGCCAATAATTTTTCTGTCATAAAGGCAGGCCAAGCATGTTTTATAACAATTAATGACCTCAGTGATCTCCTCTTCCTGGCAATCATAAACATTAGGGGGAAAAATATGATTAAGGCTCCAGAAAGTAATGAATTGAATAAGGGCATTCTTCCCTTTTTTTGAAGAGATAGGGGCCACCTTGGTAATCACATTAAAAGTAGTAACATTTTTTTCACTTTGCCTTTGAAATTTCAAATATATTTCTCTCACTCAAAAATCAGAAGGAATCATGGCAACCAAAGCAAAAGAAAGGCGTTGGTTTACAATAAAGAATGGGAGAAAAGGAAAGAAGCACGTTGCCAACCCAATCTCTGAGTCACAAACTGGAACAAAAGGCTCTTCTTCACTCTCAACACAAATGAAAATACTTTTCTCTCTTCCTCCAACTCTCTCATACTTTCACTCTTCTTTGTTCATGCAAGATCCAAAGAACCATTCAAACACAAGGTATGCCCTTCTTATCTTCCTCTGCCCCTTTCTCTCCTTCACAACTTAAACACACACCCCACTTTATAATTTATCTTATGTATTCAACTCTTCGCCATATGAATCACTATATACATGGGAGCGATTTTTTTAGTTTGGTGTAAAAATAAGAAGTCTTATTTTTCATTTCAACCGTTACCATTGATCTCCATGCATCTGAATTGAACGTGTATGTATGTATATATGTATGCATGCTAATAAATAAATGTTTATGTAAAATTGTGATCATCTAAAAGGTTGGACATTATAACCATTTTTTTTAGTTGAATGTGGAGACAATGCTCGCATTATTCCTCTAGAAGGCCTAAAACTAAAATTGGGGAGAACCGGCTCATTATTCTAGATTTTTTGATTGGTTTAACCTTTGTGTAGACCAAGTCTAATCTATGGAGATTATAGTTCTTCAAACTTGGTAATGTTATGAATTTGACCAAGCCCAAACTTCACGCCAAGGTAGGAAGGTCCATTTTCTCTGGCTGGCCTGCTTTATAGAAAATTTCAACAGTGAACCTATATTTGGAATTTCCCAGTTGGCACAGGCAAGTTTAGATTAACTTTGTTACAAAGTCTGACCGTACAAAATGGTTCTTTGATAGTTATGGGAAAAAAAAAAGTTAATAAATTTAACTCATTTTCAATTTGCATAATTGCTTGTATCTTTTCAAGTGAGAGAAAAAAAAAAAAAATGAATGTAGTGAAGGGTATGAATCATGCAGCTGCATCATCTCAAGATTTCATGCATGACATTCGTTTCATTTCAAGTTGCAGGAAGCCCTGGTATCAGAGAGCAAAAGAGGTGGCTACCCTATGGAAAAGCATTTCCAAATCCTCAGAAATTCCCACAGCAAATGCCACTTTATGGAGGACAATGCCAAAATCACCCCAAGTCCCTACACCAAGTCCCAACAAGAACAAGCTAAGAAAATGTTCCTCTCTAAAGGTTGCAACTTCCTTTACAAGGGTTTGTCTTTGTGCACCTATATATTCCTACAATGAGATTTTGAGAGCTGAGGTTCCACCTAGAAGAAGTAATAGTTACCCAAGATCAAAACCATTACAAACTGCACAAGAAAGAGTTCCTAGTGCTAGGCTCAGCACAGAGGGAAGAAGAGTGTTCAGGGGTAAATCATTGACTGATGATGTTCTAATGAGAAGGTTTGTCATTGAGGAAGAGGCAATGATGCAGATTAGAAGAAGAAATCAAATGGAAGTTATTAGGAAGAGGAGTATTATGAGAAGAAAGAAGCTTGGGCCTAGTCCTCTTAGTAGAATGGTTATGGCAGATGATGATATTGGACAATTTAATTGATTAGTCCAACTCTTGTGTAGTGTCCAATCCAATTGGTGATTTTTATTCCCCATCAGTATCATACCTGTTCTTTTTTTTCTTTTGGCCTTAATTTCATTCACTGAGTTTGGTTATCTTCTACTTACAACATATTCAATTTTATGACCCAATTTTAAGTGGGTTTAATTTAAATATTTTTATGCATAGCTCAGAATCACAATGTTAACTTCATTTCTATATTCAATCTGACGAATTTAGAATTGAAGAATTATTTTCTTAATCTAAGTATTTCTTTGGAATTATTTATTTTAGGGTTAAAAAGATTTTAACAAAAAAAAAAAAAGAGTTCACGAAACAAGAACTAAACCTTAACTTGTTAAGTCAACAAACGCAGCCAACTAATTGCTATGTGTGGACTTGTTAATTTGCTTATAAGACACTCCGAAAACAGAATTCATAAAATAAAACCTTGTAGAGCAAGGATAGTGGTTATCTAATTTGTATCGGAAAGAACAAGTTAGGTTGTTTTCTGACCAGTAATGTGACTCTGATTCACACGCATGATTCAATTTTTTTTTTTTTTTTTGGTAGTCTGCATGATTCACTTTTAACTTATCAACTACCCCGTTTCTATTTTTTAATTTCTGCTTAATGATATATGGTTCCTCTGCCAATTTATTGACGAAAAATTATTTCATATTTAGCTTCTTTACGTAATTTACAATTTTTCAACTTCTAGACCAGAGTGAAGTAAGCATTACTAGCACTGTTAAAACTAAAGCAAATTAATAATTATCTTCGATGAAAGTAACCTTTTGTTAATTCAAAACTCACAATTAAGTGAGACTCTTAGTCTTGAGTGCTGTATTGAACTCAAATACCTTGTTTTTTTTTTTTTTGGTAAACAACTCAAATACCTTGTTTTAACTTTTAACTATGATTTTTGTAGCAAATTTTTGTTTTAGCGTTACAAAAGTTCACGCTTTTTAAAAAATGACTTGAAATTTCAAGAAATTTAATTTTCTTTTTCTTTGAGTTTTTTTTTTAATATTAATCGGTGTTCGAAGCCCTAGCAGGTAATAAACCTTAAGTTCATGATGTTTTGGATATAAAATGGAGCCTTAAAATTTTTAAATTAAGGATCAAAATATGAATGTAATGTCATAAATTGTTAATATTGAAGTTATTAGATGAATTGTTATTAAGTTATCTTTTTATATGTTTAATTAAGTTAATTTTTATACTTTTTTGGAGTTTTAGATAATTTGGAAGATATGGAATCATAAAGATTAACTTATGACATTCTAAAGTGAAGCCACTTTTAGAAAGTCATGAATTGTCCTAGGTGTTGACGTCTTTATAAATATTACCTTCATAACTTTCTAAAGTGACTTTTCATCAAGGGAGAGAATCCTAGACATTAGGGAGCGCGAGTTGCCAATGTTTCATCTTTCGGATAGCCAGATATATGTTCCAGTCAAGCTAGATCAAAGATTCATCACAATTTCATTGCCAAGGTGTTTGAGGAAGCCTTTATGTTTTCTTTTGTCTTTATTTTTGCCATGAGTAGCTGAATTCCTTTGTAATTAGGGTAAGAGGAAACCCAATTGAATTTTTATGTTTTTGAGTTAATCTTTTAATATAATCTTTCCTTTTTATATTGAATAAATGTGCATTTGCTTAATGCCTTTGAGTTTTTCTTGTAAATTGAATTATGATTTGTATATAACAATAGGAATGTTTGGTATATGAAATTGGTTTGTCTCATTCATCATTAATTTTTTGTATGATTATGCGAATAAACATATGAATTGTGTCATATACCATTTTTATGATTCTTGTTCTCAATGCTCTCTTAGGAAACACCAAAGAATTATGATTCTTTAAGGGAGTAAAATACCAAGAAATTGAGTTTTAATTAATTTAGGAGAATTGATGGACAATATAAAAATGATGATTAATTAAGATTTTAATTCATAACATAGAGGAGAAATTGAATTCCTAACTAGTTTTTATTAATTGCTTGAATATTTAATTTTGCATTTTTGTTTATTTTCTATTTTAATTATTATTTAGTTTTAATTAAAAATCTCTCTTTCAACCTATTCAACTTAAGTAAAAATAGTGAACTAATATGTATAAAAATAATAATAAATTAGTGCTTGAAACACTAATTTTCATCAAAACACTTGTCGGATATGTGCAATAAGTTTTTAGAGCGATTGTCGGAAATTAATTTTATTTCAACATTAGTCGTAGTTATAAATACTTTAGATTAGTTTTTTATTTGATGATTTTGAAACATTCGAAATACATATATTCTTCCGCTCTTATGCAAGTTTTTAGTCTATTTTTCCAACAGATTTTTTCATAGCATCATCCATTTAAATCAATAGGAATTACTCTGTTAGCAGTTAGCACTAAGGACAACCGAAAGAAAAAGAGAATATGTGACATGATAAAGCAACAAATGAATGAATTGCATTTTCTTTGTTCTTTGAACGAACAAGTTGTACAGTAGTTTTTTTGCAACACATGTCATCTCTATCGGTTTCGCTAACATAAGCCGGGAGCAATTTGCAAATGGGGGTTCATGAGACATGGAACTGAAGCACCTTGTGAATTGACATTTGTGCTTCAACTCAACATTAATGACAGACAGCATCGCATCATGATGTAGTTGAGGGACAATATTGGTTACCTACCAAGACATGCTTTACCATTTATTACAAGAGATCACTCACAAGTGTGCTTTTGCTATCAATCAGAGGAAAGAATTAAGACAACCCTATCTAGATTAAATGAATCATAGTCAAAAGCCCTCCAAGATTTCGCCAATTTAATAAGAACGTTAGATATTATACCTACTTTTTTATGTCTATTTTACATATTTCTTCCAATAATATTGTTAGATTAAAATTTCAAAATTAGAGAAAAATAATAAAAATTAATTGAAATTCTGATTAAATGTGATTGGAGAAGAGAAGATAAAATAGACATAAAAAAGATAGGCATGATAACCTATCTCTCATATATATAGAGAAATATTATATTTATTTTTTATTTACAAATTCTTACAAACTAAAATATGTATTTTGGGAAATACATTCACTCACATGTGTACTTCCCTAAATACATAGTTGTTGAGGTTGTAAAAGTTATAAACATATATATATGAGAAGGGTTATATTGACAAATTTTTTTTTATAAACTTACAAATTACACTATGTCTACCAGTAATACTTCACTCAATAGTGTCTTATTGGTCAGATATTGTGTAATTTGTAAGAGTTTGTAAATAAAAAGTTTGTAAATATAACATTTCCCTATGTATATATTGACAAACTTTTTTTTTACAAACTTACAAATTAAACTATGTCTTACCGGTAAGACTTCAATCAAGAGGGTCTTACCGATAAGACATACTATAGTTTGTAAACAAAATTTTTTATAAATATAATATTCCCTATATATATAATGATTTTAAGACTTTTATGTTTTTAAGAGAAATGAGAGAATTTAAATCTTAATTAGAGATTTACTTATGTATAAAATTATTGTAATTAATTATGTCGCAATCAAGTGCGTTGTTCTCTTTCTTATCTACTCCAACCTAGACGCACGAGATGACCTTGTGGTCTTTGTTTGTTACGAAAAAGTGCTTAGTTGAAGGAATCTTTTAAGTTTCCCCCTTGATCTATTCCCAATTTCCCACACAGATAAACAACCCAAAGAGTTGGGGTTGCATACAGGAGGAATCTATCATCGACAACTCTGAAGCTGATGGAGATTCCAAATGTAAGTCATGAATGTTCAAACGCACTTTTATTTTATCCATTCTCAAGTCATTTTCATATTTATTATTTATTATTTATTATTTTCAGTCTCAATTGAGTATAATCGTCCTCCCAGGGGCCGTTTGGTATGCGGTATTTTGTAGGATTTCCGGGAAACTGAATTTTTTTAAATTTTAAATTTTCGGATATTATCGTAAACTGAATGTAAAAATCATATTTTTGAAATTTGAGATTCCCGGACAAATAAAAATTTCTCCTGTACCAAACGCCCCCTAAATGTAGACCAAAATATGGGGACTCATCCCTTGGATTCTCTTCCTATTTGTATCATGGAAACATTACAACCAAAACACAATTATCAAATTCTAACTAAATAAACATATGTAGGAAGCTACCTCAAAATTCTCAAAATAATTATCATTTTAAAAGTTTTAATTAGTTTCAAAGTATTTGTCACTTTAAAAAATAAAATAAAAAGTAATTTTTTTTTTAAATTTAAGATGATTAAATGGAAGCTAGTAAGGTCCAAATGAGTTATTTATTTTCTGTGATGATGGGTCACGTGCGAAGACATGCAAAAAGGAAGGAATAATAATACTAAAAATGAATGTGGTAGCGGCAAGTAATGAGGAGACTTGTGTTTTTCCAACAAAGTGGTATAGTCTAGGCTTTCATGAATGGATGCTGCGTGTGACTTGTCATGTGTTTGGCCTTTTTCATTCCAACAATGGTTGAAGTCACATGACTCAACTCCAGCTCCAGCTCCAGCGTGCTTGGCCCATTCAATATTTATGTCCTTTATTTCTCATGTTGTGCTTCTCTCCTCTGTGAACTGTGATTTCCATGTACCAACATTATCCCTACGCAGGATGTGCCTCTTCATGTGGGGTAGGGTACTCCAACCCCCCCCACTCCAATTTTTATTGAGTGAAAACCACGCCCTGCTATATACTACGCCATGTTCATTATTAATGTTGAGTACAAGTTCCTCATTCTAATTCTATAATGTAATTTGTAAAACCAACTTGATGTTTTTATTGATAAAGTGCATATATTGTATGTTATGTTAATTCAGAAATGTCTATTAGGTATATATTTTTTGACTAAACGCATTTTAGGTAAAAGGGGAGGGAACAAAGGCGTTGTGACACATCGTGAGAGAGATGAACGAAGTGGTGGTTGAACAATTGCTGACTAAATCAACATAGTGGCTGGCTAGACAGTGGAGGTTGTGGTCGTATTTGCTAAAATTAATGTTAACAAATGCTAACTAACACTTTTACAAATGTTAACAAAAATTGTTAACATGACATCCTATATACAAGATTACCGGTGTAAAAATATGAAATCTTATATCAAATCTTGGTTATTGATTTGTTTGTATATAATTATTCATATATTTATTTAATAGAATTACCAGCGATGATCGAGAGTGTAATTTATACGTGCAAAAACATCCTGCCTCCTAAAAGATATATAAATTATAATAAATGTATTTTTACATTCAAACTTGAAAATTGACGTGGTAATAACTTGATAGAAAAAGACCATAAGAAATCTGAAAGATGACTTTGAAATATTAGGAAGTTAGTTAAGTGGTACAATGTGAAAATTAAATTTTTTAAAAAGATTATTAAATTTTATGAGGTTTTTAAAAATTAATTTATATAGAAAAATAATTTTTCAATACACAAATATAAAACTTTTAAAAGAAAATCATTCAAAAATTTATTATAGGAAGATTTTCAATTGTCCCTTAACTTTATTTTAAGATTTATTTTCATCTCAATGTTTTTAAAAAGTTATTATATTTATTACAAGTCACTAATTTAAAATAATCTTAATCAGATATTGCCGATTATGCATTTTTATACACAAACAATGTCTTGTTGTTAAACTTCGTTAACATTTCAAACGGTATCAGCAATTAGGACTAATTTGAGGAATTTTAATAAATTTGGGATGAAAATGAAAAAACATATAATTATACGACAAGAATGAAACTTTGAACTTAAACAATGAAAATGTTTCTTCCATTTTTTTTCAAAAATGCCAACAATTTAATCTATAAATTTTTTTGTGATAAAGAATATATGTTATTTAATATAGATGACTTTTAAGTTACATCTCTCAATTTTAAGATGTATGTTATACTCCTTAAAATACTTTCATGTGTCATCGCCAACAATCAAAATCACTTTTTTTCATTTTTTTTTATGTCAACTTTATGTGGTATAAATTTCACCTCATTATATCATGCGTGAAACAAAAGCAATTACACAAGTTGGCTTGAATTTAATAGTTGCATACTTGAAAGATTGAAATTAATGCTTAATATTTTTAACTTAATCATATAACTTATTAATTTGAAAAAAAAAATCATCATTAGAAATCCACAATTTTCAATCACAACTGATATGAATACTAATAGTAGTTTAACCATTACTTATCATTATTTTTATTACCTAATCATATAATATTATTTAATATTAATAAATCACCATTCATATAATATTTATAATAATAATAATAATAATCTTTATCATTGAGGGACAGGATCAACTTATACTGATATATGAATAAAAAGTTTTATATTTAATTTTAGTCATTGATCGAGATATGATATTATGCATATTTTTTTTAATATTTTTTTTATCTATTTTTTTAATATCATTAAATCATAATCCCAACTAATAATAGAATGTGAGAGAAAAGATAAAAGTCAATTGAAATTATGATCTAACGATGTTAGAGAGAAATAAATAAAGTAGGTACGAAAAAAATGTAGGTATACTATCTTATCTTTTATTAATTTATATGTATTGAAAAATATAATTTATTAAATTATAACTATCAATTAATTATTAATTTTTTATAAATTATAATTATACAGAAATTAAAAATTAAAATTGAATGTAAAATTTATTATTTTTATAACAATGATAATGTCTCTTATACTACTTGTAATTCTAGTTTAAAGATGAACCATTCCATGGTGCAATCATAGTATATGACTATTTGTGGTCCCATGTCAACGTTATTCCACGCGGTGCTTTTGGATTCTTACTAACCCTGCCACAACTCAAACGGAAAGAGGACCCTGCATTCTCTGGTTTTTGACTCTACGCTTAAACTAAGACTTTTCAAAAGATTAATATGACATTTGATTTTTAAGATCAGAGATTTTGAACCGAACACGACTTAAGTTTGTCAATACCGACACGTATCCGCAATTAGTTTAAAATCACATCCAAGTTCAAATAATAATCTCAATCAACTATTATGCTAGATATACTAAAATAATGTGTTATCATGTTATTCATGACACTGTCAAATTTTCTAGCAAATGTTCCAAATCAACAATCTCAAACAAGACAAGAAGGCAAAGTTCAAAAATCCCCTTTTATTCCAATGTATTGAATTTCAATGATACCTTTCATGGTATGTTCACATGTTTCCAATAAATATAGAGCATCAATATCAAACCGGAATACTTCAGTTGATAATAAAAGAATAGAATAAGTGAAAAGAAAAAGAGACTTAGAATCTGTTTAGATGAGCTTTTATAAAAATGATTTTTTATGCATTGTTTTTTTTTAAATAATTTTTTTTAAAAGATAAAGTTATTTTACGTTTGGATGTATGATCTGAAAATCACTTTTACATAAAAAAAGTTATTTGAATGTTAAAATAAATAAAAAACACTTTTTATATATAAAATAAAAATAAAGGAGAGATAAAATAACATGATCATGGGACAAAGAGAGATAAAATAGATATGATTAGATGAGGTTAAAATTGTATTTTTAAAATTTATATTATCTTATTTCCACAAAATAAAATCATATTATCTTTTAATTTCTGCTCTTTTCAAAAGCAACAACTACTGGCTAAAAAAAATAGCATCTTAATTTTTATTTTTATTTTTGTTTTTTTTAAAAGTTGTTATTCAAACATCTAAAAATTCTCAAAAGAATTTTTATTTTTAAAAAAATCAACTTATTTATGAATAAAAGCTCATCCAAACGGATACTTAGTTCGATCCTTATATATTATCTTTGGGAGGAGTTTAAATATTTCCATCTCTGAACCATCCCGCAATTCGAATTAGTCTCATAACCGGCTCAAAACATCGAAATTTATGAAAATATCGGGAGAACCAACTCGTCTCAAAGAAATAATTAGAAATAAAAAAAAAATAGCAATATTGAGCGCGTGTGTTACAAGCATTGGAGGAGGGTAGGGATAACAGGGCTCTGAGAAAGCTACACCAACATGGCCATAAATAAAGATCTATGCATATATATATATATATATATATATATATATATATATATATATATATATATATATATATATTATTTTATTTTTTGTCAGATCTCAAATTAACAACAGGTGCATAGGAAAATGTTGGTGAAGTAGCAATAATGAAAGCTATAATAGAATTAATAAGGAAGAAGAAATAAAGATGAGGGTACCAAACTCAACCGTTTATAATAAGTGGCAAATGTAATCCTCTTTGTTGGTGTCCACATAGTCTTCCCATTGAAGTAAAGTTGGTTGAAGTTGTCTACATTGAGTGAGAAAGTGGCCAACCAGCACCCTCTTTCTCTTCCTCTCATCATCATCATTATAGAACCAAAAGATAGAAAATTATAATTCCCACAAAAACAAAGAAAATTATAATTATAAATCCCACAAAAAGTTGAAAGGTGGCTAGAGGAAAGTAACTTCATACAACCAAAGGGAATTGGATTCCAACCTCCAGAGAGAGAGAGAGAGAGAGAGAGATTAATATTTGAGAAAGCCAACCAAGGAAGAAGAATCATGTGGTGCTGGAAAGGCGAAGGAGGATAAAAAAGAGTTAGAGAGAGGGTATCCTCTTCTTTGCTCTGTCCTTTGTCTGTGACAGCACTTTTAGAAGTTCTAGCAACGTTGGAAGTTACTGCCAACCAACAAGGTATCTATGATTTTAGTGTTTTGTGTTTGTTATTAGTATCTTTTCAAGATTTAAGGTTTTGGGGTTGTGTTAAATTTGTTAATTATTATTATTATTATTATTATGGTTATAAATCTTTGTGGGCATGGACATGTCTGAATTATGATTATGATTTTTTTTTCCCCTTTTGCTTCTGAATTCTCATCAACAGAACATAAATTGACCGTACCTCGGGATCCTCTTAACTTGGTCTCAACTCTCGAGACTGTCAGAAGATTATGTTTTCTTAAGATTATTGTTGTTGTTTTTTAAAACTGTCGGAAAACAATTCACTTTCTATCTGACATGTTCATTACTTGGTCTTTCCTCTCTAATGGAATTGACTAAGCCTTCGCAGATCATGTAGGATTTTCTTTCTTCTCAATTTTCCTTTGATTATAGAACAAAAATTCCTTCTTTTTTTTTTTGGGCTTTTAATGTTTGACAGTGCTACCTTCTTCATGTACCCTTAGATTGGTATCTTTGTTAATACAAATATCAAAATTAATTGGATTAAAAATTATACCTTTTTTCTCTTCTTTCCTCTGCATAATTCATGGGTGAATGAAAAGGGTTTTTCATTTCATTTTCATTTGTTATTTATTTATTCAATTATTTTTTGGCCATCAACAGCCTGAAGATAAAACAGAGATGCTGCCTCCTTGCTGGCGATCGTTCTGGTGAGCTTAACTCTCTTTAACAATTTCTTGCCTAGATAAAGAACAAACGTAATATCTACCAAAAAAAAATGAAAAGAAGAAGAAGAAGCATAATATTGTTCTTCCATGTTGATTGTTATATATATAGCCTTAGATGATGCTGTCAGAGCAGAATGATTTATGTTTATATGAGAACCTTTTTGTGTTCTTGTATGCTATTCCATCTTTAATTTATCATATGTCCTTGGTCTGTCTTGTTATGTAAGAATCGTTAACTTGAAGTATAATTCTTCACAGTATATAAGACATGAATGATTTTGATCATACAACTACTGAATTCATCTTATATTTTGGGATAGCTGAAAAATTATTAATTATAAATAAACACCAGCATGCACACTTGCACAGGCCATTATCTTTTATCTTCATTTTCTCTTGCAGGAAGAAACAGTAATGCTATTGACATGGGAAAGAAGGGAAGTTGGTTTTCTGCAATCAAGAGGATTTTCACACACCACTCCAAGGGGAAGGTAGTTAATATAAGTTCCTTCCTACATTGTCTGTACAGAGAAATGTGAAATCTTTGATTTATTTTTATATGTTGTTCTTGTTGTTGTTATATTTGGCTTTCTTTTGACATCCCCTTTACATGCCAAAAAGGTTAACCATTTAAGGCTGGAATTTTGATGAATAATTTTGTAGCAGATTTAGTGACACTGGACTGCAATGGACAGACCTGTGGCAATATTAAGAAATTTCATCCTTATGAAGCTTCCAAGTTTCTACAGCACCTAAATTCTGGTCGATAGGCCTTGTTGATGTATAATGATGTTCCACATGAAAAAAAATCTGTCAAATGTCAATTAGGTTCCTTCATAATCACTAATAGATAATTTGAAATATTGCAAAATTGATCTAGGAGGTTCCTTGCCATTCATCAACCATTCTTACATTATATTGCTTTATGCATTAGTTTTAAGTTTTTATGCCCTTTTTATCTGAACTCTGAAGCAGGAAGCAACATCTGCATAATGATGGCCATTTTATTTGGAAGTCAGTCTTTGCATAACTCTGCCTTTAAAGTTAGAAGAAGTTTTGTTATCAAGGTGAACTTGTTTCCATCTGCAGATTGATATATCTAATCATTTTTAATAATATAGCAGGATTCGGATAATCAAAGCACAAAAGAGAAGAAGAAAGGTCTAGGAAAACTAAGGCATGGAGAGACCAATTCTTTCATCCCCCTCTTCAGAGAGCCAAGCAGCATTGAAAAAATCTTTGGGGACTTTGAAAGAGAGCAACAAATATTAACAATAAGGCCTCCCACGCCTTCTGACCAACCCAAAACCCCACCTGTTGTCCCTCCTAGAGCTGTTTCTCCAAGGGCTCCATCTCCGAGGAATGCTTCTCCTAGGGCTCTTTCTCCGCGAGTTGCCTCTCCCAAAGCTGCTTCTTCCCGGATTGTTCATCACCACAAGGAGGTTGGCCACAGACCAGAACCAACTTTAAGGAACCAGCATGCCTCAGCTACTAAGATCCAGGCTACTTATAGAGGTTATATGGTAAGCTTTCATTTTTTCTTGTTAATGTCATAAATAGAATTCAGGTTTTGTTAATGTCTTCCCTTAGATACATGTTAAGGAATATGAAATGAAAACAGAAGTATTTAATAACTTGAAAATCTAAAAAGTATTTAATTCTTTCTTCTTTATGTAATTATGATGATTTAGTAAAGGGTAATGAATACTTTGTAATGAGCGCAAGTTAATAAAACTCAGAATTGAAAGATAGACCATAAACTTCATTATCCAAATCTTTCTTGGCTCCCATATTGCTACTTGTTTGTTTAGATGCATATCATAAAAAATTGCGATTGTTTGAAAGTGCAGAAAACTAAATGAATAATATACTCCATCTGTTTCAAAGTAATTGTCACTTTAGATATTCTAGTTTGTTTTAAATTATATTTCACTTTATAAAACTAAAAATGTATTATTATCCCTTTTTTCAATTTTATCCTTATCTCTTGGTATTTCTACCAAGTGGAATGAAAGAGCATAAATGGAATAAGAGGATGGTAAAGTCAAATGAACTTATATTTTCTTAAAATTGAGAATATTTAATGACTTTCTTAATACTTGTGCAAAACCTTAAACAGCACATATTTTGAAACAGAGGGAGTACTTCATTATTCTTCATATTGACAATTAAATTTGTCCAACAATCAAAAAATGCAACATAAATGCACTTCATGTAAAATTATTTTCTGGCAAAAATAAATGTAGCCATGCTCATTTTGTCAACCTTGGAAAATTATGAGCCTGAATTGACTGATTATTGTGTCAGTTTACCTTGAGAACATGAATGGGTCAGTATTTACTTGCAGAATGTTGCCCCTTGATCCATTAATTCTACCTGCTCTTCATTGATATGAAACAAAGGATCCCCCTTGTGATATTTAGTACTTGCAATACAGGCCAGGAGGAGTTTTAGAGCTTTAAAGGGTCTGGTGAGGCTTCAAGGAGTGGTAAGAGGACAGAATGTGAAGAGGCAGACTGTTAATGCCATGAAACACATGCAGCTTTTGGTGCGAGTTCAATCTCAGATTCAATCTCGAAGAATCCAGATGTTGGAAAACCAGGCACGATATCAAGCTGAGTTCAAGAATGACAAGGATGTGGCAAGTACCTTGGGGAAATTGACTTTAGGCCATGCTGTAAGCTCTCTAACTTGGACAACCCTTTGGACTACCTAATGGAAACTTATTGAGAACTTATGCTTGGCCAACTCACTTTAAATGTTGAATACTTGTTAATTTAGGCACTTCAATATTAAAGGACTAAATACAACCCTTTGTTGTGATGCCTTAATGGTAAAGCTATGTTTTTTGCTTTTTTTCCTGTTGCTGTGGGTTACACAATGGTAGGTAGCCATCTCTCTTCCCTTGCTCTCTCCCAAGTGAATGTGGGTTTTGATCCCAAGTCCTTTCACTCATTGCAAAGGACTTTACCAGCTATTTCTTAGCCAGTTGACTCCTTCAAATTTTATGACTAGATGAGCCGTTGGGGTGGGTTACACTATGACTTAATTTCCTAAATAACCAGTTATATAAATTTAATGAACTATTCATGTTTTGGGTGGTATGTAGTTACTATATACTTCATAATCCTGGGATTGTGCAATCACAATTTGATCTATTCAACTATAGATGATCCTGCTCTTCCTTATGATTTATATCATGCTAGATATAAAGTTAGTATTATGTTATTCACTGTAATGTGAAAAGCCTGGTGGCTTTCCTACTGCCTTTATCTTTATGAAAATAAAAGTAAGTGATTTTGTTACTTTGGAATTTTGGTGTAGTCTGAGGCAGGTAACAATGATGAGTGGGATGATAGCTTACTGACAAAAGAGGAAATAGAGGCAAGGTTGCAGAGGAAGGTGGAAGCAATGATCAAAAGAGAAAGAGCAATGGCATTTGCATATTCACATCAGGTACTCACCAACACAGCCTAAACTTTTCAATCTAATTCTTTATCAAAAAGAAAAAAGGCACTTTTATAAATTTGTTCTGTTATTTTCTTTTTCCAATTTTGAATGGGATCACCTGTTCAATTACTTTCTTACTTAAATCTTTTAAACTAGCATTTTAAAATAAAACATCTATGAGATTACATAAGACAACATAGTTGATTTCAATTTTTCATCTACTTCTTATAACTTAATTGATTCTACCAACAGTTGTGGAAAGCCACTCCAAAATCAACTCAAACACCGGTGACAGATATGCGATCCGGTGGATTTCCATGGTGGTGGAACTGGTTGGAAAGACAACTGCCTGCAGCAGCAAATCCACAAGAAAGACAAGTCTTGAACAATTTTCAACTCACACCTTCAAGACCATATTCAGAGCAGAAAACTAGTCCAAGACCTGCCTCAAGCACTCATATGAGGCATCATTTTGCCTTTGACAATATGGATACACCAACTCCAAAATCCACTAAATCAACTATTCTGACATCTTCAAAACCAGCCAGAACTCCTCCATATAGAACTCCACAAGCAAACAGCTCAAGCTTTTCAAAACATACAAGGCCAAGGGCTGTGGGGGCTAATTCACCTTTTGATGTGCCACTGAAGGATGATGATAGTCTCACAAGCTGTCCACCATTTTCTGTGCCAAACTACATGACTCCAACAGTTTCTGCCAAGGCCAAAGTACGTGCTAGTAGTAATCCAAGAGAAAGGTTTGGTGGGACTCCAACCAGTGATTCAAAGAGGAGACTTTCATTTCCTTTGTCCCAAGGAATTGGACCCTTTAAATGGAATAAAGGGTCCTTGTTCTCAAGCAAGGATCCTAGCTCTCAGAGGATGCCAGATAAATATCAGTCACTTGAATCTTTAGGAAATGTGAGTGTGGATTCAACGGTATCTTTGCCCGCAAGAGTGGGAAGAAAGCCTTTTACAAGATTTGTGTGATTTATTTTGTTTTTATTCTTTTTTTAACCATTTTTATTTTGTCCATGTTGGTGGTGTTATCAGTTATATTATGATTATGATTGAGTGTATTGGTGATAGTTTGACAAGAAGTATACCTGTTGTAAACTAATAAAAACATGATAGGAAATATGATGGTTTGATAAATTTGATTGGAACTTTTCTTTTTTTGGGTTCAATGGCGCTATACAATTCAATTTTCTTTGTTCTTAAATCCATCTATCTACTAATTTCTTTGGCTTAGTGTTGCTAATTAACTAAAGCTCCCATTTAGAGTAGAAATATTTGGGAGCTTACGATTTGACTCGATTTAGGTTTGGCTTAACATGAATTTTTATCAAATGAGTTAAGGTTAATTTTTTTTTTTTAAAAAAATATTCAATCAAAACAATTAAACTTTAAGTCATTTAAAAAAAAATTACACTTGATGTTGATGTAATGACTTATTTGGAGTGTGTGTATAATATCTATATATTATGTATTAAAACTTAGGTGAACTTCACTGTACAAAGCTTCCCAACAGGAAAAAATGGTTAATTGTAAGCGATTTTATCCTTATATTTTTGTAAAGAGATGATTTTTCAAATTCAAACTCACCTTCTATTAGAATTAATAACTTATTTTAGGGTTTAGTGTGTGTCATTCAAAAGGACACAAATTGTGTCCTTTTAGTGACTTACACAGAGTATGACCGGCCATACTCCGTGTAATTATGAAAAGTTACTTTTTTTTCACTGTACACGTCAGCGATGTGACTAAGGAGAGAGAAAAAAGCAACTTTTCAGATTTACACAAAGTATGATCGGTCATACTTTTTGTAAATCATCTAAAAAGACACAACTTGTGTTCTTTTAAATGATAGTCTTTTTTCCCTTTATTTTATCGGGAAAAAAAAGTAGTAGCTTTATCGCTGCTTCAAGACTCGATTTATATATATTAAATTTATGGGTTCGCTTTTTCTGCAGTTACTGAAGATAAGTTATCTGCAGTAATTCCAATACGACGTCGTTTTGGGGCGGAAACCATGGTGTTATTATAATTTTAATTTATTTCAGGGTTATTATAGTCTTTATAATTATAATTTTCTAATCTTTCAATCTCAAAATGACATCATTTTGAAAGTAAATGCAGATAATTTATCTGCATTAACTGAAGAAATATTTTTATTTAAATTTATATACTACTAATTTAATTCGGTACTTGGATCCAGTTACTCATTTAATTTAAAAGTGATTCTATGGGCCACGTCAAATTTAAAAAAAAAATTGGAAATGGATTCCCTCGTCTGAGAAAAACACATGATATGATCAATTGGAAGATCACAACCATTCATGGGTAAATCAATGGTTATGATTTCGTAACTATCTATTTTAACATTTTTTTTCTCTCTTCTTTTATTACCATTGACCCACCTTTATATGATTATAATTCTTCCCATGACATGATCACGTGAATTTTCAGAGGATCCCAATCAAAAAAATTAGACTGAAACACTAGATTTCAATGTCAAGTTTATTCGGGTCTAAGCTGAGCCTTTTGTACCCTACTTCCAATGCCATTCTCAATGATCCGAGCGATGACTACTATCATCACTCAATTATATAATCTACTACTTTTCATAGCATATGCGAAGAAAAGATGCACTAGAACAAGAAAGAAATGTCCCATTTCATCTTGGATTATATTTATCTCATTTTATATGAGATAAATAATTTTCTTACACACACAAAAAAGAGATGGGTTCCACTACTTTTTTTTCTTTCTCCTCTTACTTATGGGTTCCGCTTATAATTTTATTTCTACAACATGAGATAACTACTTTCCTACAACATAAGAAAAGTATTTCCGTTTCATCTTTCATGCAATCTTATTTTTAATTTTTTACTACAGGGAAGAATGTTGTGTACACCAACCAATAACAAGCCCACGCCTATTGTTGTAGTTTACAAGATACCACGGACCATACGTTTTGCCGTTTTGCCGTTTTGCCTCAGCCAACGTAATTCTTTGTGTCTGTTTCTCTGTGAACTTAACTGTAAAAGAGTACCCCAAACGACACATCAGCACAACTAAGACACACAAAACACACACAGGTATGAAAGATACTAACATTATTAATCTTAGGTAAGAAACAAAAATATGCACATTTTCTTTTGAAGAATAGACATCAGCAAAGATGGTACCAAAGAACAATGATTGCATAATTCGAATATCTGGCAACATATGCTTGAAGTTGACAAGCCAAAGCAAAAACCAAAACTGGTAAATAGCTTGCGTGTTTTGGTTGATTTCATACGCGTTGCTCGAATTCTATTGATGTGGATTTCTATTAATTCGACATTTGTTCACGTAGTGTACAAGAAAAATAAAACTAGACAACAATTTATTTACACTCTTGTCCAACTTCAGTCAATTCTATGGAATTTGTATTTGTCATTTAACATGATACAACAAATTTTCCTACACACACAACATTTTATGAGGCCCACATTTTTTGAAGAAAAAAGAAAAAAAAGAAATTACGGCACGCAAAACGAATCTCTATAACATTACACAATCACTTTTCCTACAACATAACTCTTATAAAATCCTAATTCTATAATAGAAAAAGAGTTTTTATTTTCCAACTACTTAATCAAGTATAAATGCAACATACTATGCGTATATATGCAAAATGATTACAAAAGAGTTGGAAGGGAGAAGTAACTATTAATTTTAGGGAAATAATACTCTCATGTCACATGAGATACTCTCATTTTTCTACACAAATTTTTTTTTCGTGTCAAATAATTTTTCTTTTCTTTTTTAATATAAAATATGGGACCCACATTTAACTTCTCTCTACTATTTTTTCTCCTACAATCCTACAACATAAGAAAAGCTAAACCCTTAATTTTATCCTTTTATAAGGGAACATGCTATGCGTATTTCTTTTCATGTGCCTCTCTTTAACCAAAGATCCATAATTAATAATAATATGAATTTGACATATATGATTATGGGGATAAGTTATTCTGCTTACTCTTAGTTTGCCTACCTTTGTCTACTTCTCTCCACATCTTTAGATTATAATATTATCTAACGTTAGAGATTTGCGGGATAAAATAAATTTTTTTATCCCTTTCTTTCTCCTCATTGCCTTCCACCCTTTCTCTCTCATCCCACCCAAACGTCCATCATCTTCGTCAAGCCTTCCATCAATTTTGAAATTTTATAAAGGACAGAGTCGAAAATTCAAAATTAAAAGTTATTCTACTTACTCCTATATTGCCTACCTTTTGCCTACCTCTTTCATTACCGTTGGATTACAATCTAATCCAACGGTTCATATTTACGAAATAAAATAACTCTTTTTTTTTCTTTCTTTCTCCTCACTTTCTCCCACACCCTTTCTCTCTCCTCCCCCTTTCTCTCATCCTCTACCCTATACCTATTTTTTTTTCTTTATCTCTGATCTCTCCCGAGGTGAAGGCGCGCGGAAGCATCATGCGATTCATCGACCACAGCATTTGAAATCATCGTCCTTATCATGTTTAGTTATAGCAGTAAGTTGCGCTTGATTGGCTATTCATTCTAGATAGAAAGGAAAAATCAAATCGGGCGAACTTGTTCTATACTAATTGGAGTCGTTGAAAATTAGGCTCTCATAAACTCATTTTCGTCGATCACTCACTGCTGACAAGACCAACATATCTTGTTTTTATTGTGACAAGGAACTCAAGCAAACTGCTTAGTGTTTCATTTTCATGGGAAATAGAAATGGGAGAATGACAGTCAGAGTCGTTAGCAAAACCTGTTTAACCCAAGAAGCAATTGTTAAACCACAAAATCTCCCAATACAATTTCCCTCCTCTAATTTTCGTATCTTTCATCCCCTTCTTTTCTTATGAAAGTAGGGGAATTTTTCATGGTGTTAAAAAGGATAAAATATGATACGATTGAGACTAAGCCGTTACAAAAAGTATTTATCAAAGATATTTGGTGTTACCAATTCAAGTGTCAAAATAATCAATTTCCCTTGCGTAAGAACTCGGGTTCAAGTGTTCTCTTGGTAGCAATGAAGCTTGTTGTGGGGGACTTCTTTGAAATGACAAAAGTGGATTGAATAAAATATGAATCCTTAAGGACGATGATTTCAAATGTTGTGGTCGATGAATCGCATAATGCTTCCGTGCGCGTTCATTTCGGCAGAGATCAAAGATAAAGGAAAAAAAATAAGTATAGGGTAGAGGATGGGAAAAGGGGGAGAAGTGAAAAAAAGTGGGAGAGGAAGTGAGGAGAAAGAAAGAGAAAAAAATGGTTATTTTATTTCGTAAATATGAACTGTTGGATTAGATTGTAGTCCAACGGTAACGAAAGAGGTAGGCAAGACGGGAGTAGGTAGAATAACTTATCCCATTATGATATATGTTAAATTAAATTAAATATGAACTCTAATTTCTCAATGAGTTAGTAGTAGCTAAATTTAATGATTTTACCTTAATTTAAATTTATTCATACAATTTATACATATTCAGTAATTTTTTAATAAATATGACTGTTAATAGCTTAAATTTTACATGAAAAAGTCAATAAAAATCAATTTTATAAAAAAATAAGAAAACAAAATTTTAATGAAAAGAGAAAATAGTTAAACTTAAAAAAAAATATGAGTTTACTCTTTATATAAAAAATTAACAGTTTTTTAATAAAATGAAATTTTATAAATTTATTTAAAAGATTTACATATTTTCTTACTTAAAAATTTTAAGATATTTTTTTTTAAAGACAAATTTTAATATACTTTTAATAAAATGAAATTTTATAAATTTATTAAAAAAATATATAATCTATACAAAAGCACGACTCTTTTATATTAATTATAAAAGGGTTTTATAAGAGTTATGTTGTAGGAAAAGTGATTGTGTTATGTTATAGAGATTCGTTTTGCGTGCCAGAGTTTTTTTTTTTTTTTTTGCTGCGGGCCCCACAAAATGTTGTGTGTGTAGGAAAATTTTTGTGGTCATGTTAAATGATAGATGATAAACCCATTATAAAACTACAATATCATTATTAGAATTATAATAGATGCCTCATGTTAAAAAGAAAAACCTCAATTTAATTTTTTTAATATGATATTCCAAAAAAATATACAATTATGTAATAGGAAAAATTATTTGTCCTTTTAAATGACACAGCT